AGGGAGCCCGATGCGGGACTCGATCCCGGGACTCCAGGATCATGACCTGAGCCGAAGGCAGTCGCTTAACCAACTGAGCCACCCAGGCGCCCTAAATTACTAATTTTTTTGTTTGTCTCATAATACTGATCATACTGTAGTATTCTCAGGAGGCTTTTATGCATTTTCCTATACAGTGTACCATGAAAATGGTGTTTATTGAAATTTATGCTCACATATATTTGTTGTCAAAAATCAGACAATAAGAACAGTTGATGACTTTAATTGTGAAACTTAATTCTAGCCACACTTTTGAATATATTGAATATAATTCTTAGTTAAGACTCTGAAATTTAGTATAATATCTATATAGTTAGCTTAGTTCACATGAAGGCCTCATTAGTGCATCAGTAAGTTCTTTTCTAGCAAGGGAAAATGGTTTTTAAGTTATAATCACTACAGTATTTTATTCTTTGACTCCTGGGATTTTGATCTATAGGAAGGGCTCCAAATATTTTAAAAAACAAATTATAACATGATTCCTTAATGAAAATTCTAGAAGGTTGGTATAAATAGTTTATTTCCTTAAGTCATTCCTGCCTAACCTAGTACTGAGTTAGGGCTTTTACAGAGACATCATATTAGTTTATTTATTAAAATGCTTCCTTAGGTATCTGCTAGGAAAATATATTTATTTTATAAAATAGAATATGCATAATTTTAGTATATGAACTATATAAATATAAATAATTTATATATTATTTGGGCAGAGTTACTCTAATGAAATAAAATAAACCGTCTAAATATTTGATATTTAATCTTAATCATATGTAATTTATAAAAGGAATATCTCTTCTAAGGACTTTGCTTCTAATAAAATAAATATAATTTTTAATATATTACTTTGTGTTTCAATTTTACATTGTATTTTTATTTAATTTTAATAATTTCCTTTTCTTGTACTTTTTTGATCTGTTGTCTGTTTTGTCTAATGCATGTCCAGGGTTCTAAGGTTAGTATTACTTCAGTAATTTTCAGGTTTTCAGTTTTCAGTTTTATTTTGCTTATTTATGAAATTTTTGACTTGGTTATATTTTGAGTTTCCATACCATCTTTAATATTAGACCTATCTTTGGTATATTTAAAATATTAATTAAAAGGACTTTTTCTCAATGCATTGATGAATTATTATTCACAATAACCTTTAGACTAAACTATTGTAATATAATGAAAACAAATTTCATTCATATGTACAATCAGATGTTAATTGGTTCCAATGAAAGGAAATTGGATGGGATATATATTATTTTAGGATTTAATAATAATCATATGTGAGTGATCTTTATTGTTAAATGTATGTTATAATGTTTATATAACATTTCAGCAAAATTATAAATTACTTTTATATGGAATTAATTAAGAACTCCCTTTTTGGTTTTTTGTGTTAAGAATGCTTTTTAAAATTTTATTTTGTTTAGTCAAAAATAACAGTTTGGCAAATTACATGGCTGATTAATAATTCTGTTAATAATTTCTGTATGTAATTTAGTCATTTAAAAATGAAAACATATTTTGAAGTTTAGACCTAGTAGACCACAAAAGACATGAAAATAAGACCATTAACTAATAAAGTGATAACTAATAAATAAATCTTACAATTTGAGTAATTCAAAATGATGAATTTCTTTGAGAATGCATCTATAGATATTATAGAATTCTAATATTTTTGAAAATTTATTTAGAACATTTGATAGACCTAAGCAATGGCCAGATCTTCCATTCCATTATAGGCACTTGTATTAACTGAGATTTAAGAGTTCTTATGTAAAGTTTTTTTTTTTTGCTTTTTAATATGAACTATTGTGTTGTAATCACAGATTTTTAATTCATGCTATGAAATAATGCTGTATATCAATGAAGTGCTAGGAAATAAGGAATCTGTATTTAAGAAATCCAAGTAATGAATTATTTCTTTAGACCACAGATACTGAATTGTCATAATGTAAATCAACAATTGAAAACAAATTTTTGTCTTTTCAAGCTCATTTTAGAGAGAATGGTTTTAACACTATTTTGCTGTTAAATGGAAGGAAGAAAGGTTGTTACATTTTATACTCCATTTAGAATGGAGTTTAGTTATATAGTGCTTGCAGTAGTCACCTATCATTTTTATTATCCATCTTGTGCTCAAGAAGTGTTTTAAGAGTTGTGTTGTTTTTTTTTTTTTATCAGTGTTTCCTGCTGACATTTCCATTTTAATGTGAGCAGGAATCTGTTTAGGTAGACTGATGGGCATAAACAATATCAAAATGGAACATTAAATAGGAGTAGATACCTGTAATATATGCTTACGTTGTAGTTGAATTTATCATTTGGTAAAGAAGTAAGGTTAATCAATATGGCTAGTGTGCCCATTTTCAGAAAATTTAAGCAGTAGTACTTTTTATTTATAAAGCACTTCTTACTTTTCTCTGCCCCTTGTGGCACTGAGAAAATGAGGCCTAGTTATAATGAACCAAAATAATTGAAATGTTATATAATACAGAATGAAAACTAAAATAAGAAATGTTGCTGTTGCTTATAAAATACAAAGTTACACATCTCCAGAAATACTACTTTGTGACATTCCCTTTGAAAGCATGAAATTGTATTTTATCATAGACAATATTTTAGTGAAAGTATAGTTGTACCTAACTAGAATGTTACTGATGCTTCTTATTGCTAGTGTCTTATAGGTCACAAATTAATATCTTTAGAGGAATTAGTGATTTTCTTGATTATTTTTACTCTAGATTTTTATTGTATGTATGAGATACCTAGTGACTTAGTTTATTCTGAAATGGGTAAGAAATTATTATGTGTTCTCATTTAACAGTTGTCTCATTTTGATGCCGATTGGAAGTGCCATATATCTTTACTATTACTCATCACGCATTTATACTAAAGAGAAGTTAAAGCATATCTTTTAATAAATGAGAGTGAAGATTTTAGGAAAGTATCTATTTTATATCTTTATTAATAAAATAAGACAAAAGTAGTAAAATATAGATGTGTAATTATTCCTAAATATCTTTATGAAATGATCTTAAGTTTGGAATATAGTTTTGTGAGACATTTAAATTTATCCTTCATTTTAAAAATGGACTTTTCCTTTATTCAAGGATAATTCATAGGTAAACTAATTAAATTTAACAACCAGTTCTTTTGATATGTGGAATCAGTTTATAATTTATAATTTATTTTGTTTAGAAAATATACTAGATATGCTGAACTACTGTTTACCTGTAGCATGTATGTATATGTATTATATTTCCAAATTTTAAGCAAGACTTAAATCTTCTACTTTTTTAAAGACGGAATTGGAAAATATTGAAGTGACACAAGGCATGTCAGCTGAGACAGCAGTAACTTTCCTCAGCCGATTGATGGCTATGGTTGATGTACTTGTATTTGCCAGCTCTCTAAATTTTAGTGAGATTGAAGCTGAAAAAAACATGTCTTCTGGAGGTTTAATGAGACAGTGCCTAAGGTTAGGTAAGTCTGTTAAGAATAATGGTGCATGTTAAATAATTACCTACAGTTTAGTTTTTTGATGCTCTGTGGTACGTAAAGTATTGATGATACAAGTTAATGATTATGTTGTATAGAGATTACATTGTAATTCTTGAGAATTACTAAATTAAAAAAAATTGTGCTATCATCACATTGGAGATTTCATGAAATTGATCATCTTTAATGGATTATAATTTGAAATGAAGTCAAATATATTTTTAATTATTTCAAAATCAATAGGACTGTAACATTTTTCATTGACATGATTTTAATGTAAATCCCCTTAGGACTCCTGTTTTGGTAAACTAATATAGAAGATAGTTGTCCTGACCCACAAATATGTTGGAAGACCAGTGACATAGTTTTTATACACAGAATGCCAAAGGATAAAACTGACTATTCCAATGTCACTGTTTCTCAGAGTAAGCAGTTAACACTAACAAACGTTACTTTACTATACTGTTCATTTACGACCCTGTGTTGCAAAGAAAAGTTAGCATTGAAAACTCTTAGTAAATTTAGTCCATCTCTTTACATCCATTCTTACATATCCTACCTTTCTTAAAGGGGAAATTTATTTATACTACTTAGACTTTACAAGGGACCAGCAAGCAATCGTTTTTATACTTGCCTTAGAGCATGAGTAGGACAGAAGAAAGTAAGGCATTACATAGGAAGAAGTTTCTGACGTGTACTCTTTTTAACCATAATTTTAAAAATTATATAAATATCTACACGTGTATAGTTTCAGGGGATAAATTGTTCTGATCCAAGGTAGGAATAATAACTTGCTTTAAGAATGATGGAATGAAACCTACTTTTTTCCTTTTGTATTTCTTAAAGATGGGCAGGTTAAGTGGAATCATTTCATAATCATTCTAATGGAGAGATTGACCACATTGACATCTCTCTGACAATCAACAGGTGTGGCATAATTTACTGTGGCCGCTATGGACATATCCATTGATAATTAACAATAGCTGACAGAGTTAATTCTGGGACAGAGAAATTTTTTTAAGTACCTCAGTATCTTAAAACCAGCATTTATTTGGTTATTCTGAGCTTTTATTTCTGAATATATTTCAAAGTTATACTGCTAATTTCATTTTTATCCCAGTATTTCCTAGCCAATTTGTTTTTTTGTCATCTACAGGAAAGTTTTATAAGTGAATAATAACAAAGCAATTATATATCAATATGTGCTGTCTACTGTTCTAAGCACTTCATAAATATATTAATGCAATTAACCCTCAGCAGTCCTGTAAGGAGGTTACTGTTTATATTCATTTTACTTATGAGGAAACTGAGGCACACAGAGTTTAAGCCGCTGGCCCAAGATCACATAGTTCATACGGGGCAGAGCCAGGAGTAAAATTCAGGTGGTCAGATTCCAGAACCTGTGCTGTTTATTACTATATGACTTTTTAAAGTAAGTAAATAAGTGAAAAGCTTGTATGTGTGGAATGCTTATTGACAGGGCTGTAGACTTTCCCACCACACAGAAAGGTGGGTGTTGGGACTCAGACTGTCTGCACTGCGGTGCTCTGTCACTTCCTGAAATGGGGAGCTGTGCTCAGTTAGTCACCAAGTAGTCATGTTACTGAAGAAGTCTTGTCAATCAGAACAGCTTATCAAATGTGAATATGAAGTTTCAAAAAGTTTTTATTGATCTGTGAAATTCAGGATTTTAAACGATGGAGGGGGCATATATTAGGAAGGGATATATTGGGAGCTTCAGTAATATTCTGTTCCTGCAGCTGATTGGTAGTGTATGGGTGTGTTGTTTTTATTTTTTAACTACACGTTTTATATGTACTTTTCATTACTGTATTTCATAATTTTTAAAAATATTTGTTCTAGTTGGTTTTAGGAATAATGAATGGAGAAAAGGGAAAGAAAAAAAAAGCTAGCAACTCTTTTCAACATATCAGAGTCAAGAACTTATATTAATAATATGCTTTTGGTTTTTAAATAGTTTGTTGTGTTGCTGTGAGAAACTGTTTAGAATGTCGGCAGAGACAGAGAGACAGGGGGAGCAAATCTTCCCATGGCAGCAGTAAACCTCAGGAAGCTCCCCAAAGTGTGACCGCCACAGCATCTTCAAAGGTAATTAAACATTTTCTATGTTAAATATAATGTACCTTAAAATTTGTTTTTTTAAGTCTGAGAAAAAAGTAACATGGTATTGTGTAAAGAAAGAGAAAGGATTTAGTAATCAGACCGCTGTAGGCTTCTTCGGTGCTGGCTTTTCTTCTTCATAATTGTATTACCAAGATTATTTAACCTGAGACTTGCATTCTTTGTTTATTCAATGAAGGTACTAATAATTCTACTTCATAGGATTTTTGTAAGGATATCAGTACACATTGCTCTGAAAGTTCTTAGTTATTACTATTTTTCATAGTTAAATATTTTCACAGAGCTCAATATATGAATTATACTTTTTAAGTGGATATGTTTTTGGTGGTAGATACTCCCATAATATTATTGAATGCCCAGGAAATGAATGAATAGTGTATTTTGGAATATACCAGTAATTCTCATTTTAAATTAGCTCTTTATCACATGTTTAACTGACCCTTTGCATCACATCAAAGTTTTATTAACATGACTTTTATGGTCCTGCATGACTGACCCTGGCTTACTTCTCCAACAGCAGCTTTATCCTCTTACCCCCTTGCTTTTGCCATTTTAGTCACATGATAGACTTTAGCTCATCAGAGAATCTTTTTTTTTTTTTTTTTTTGTCTTCAGACTTTTTCATAGGTTCCCTTTGCTTGAAGGGTCCATCCTTAACTTTTCATCCAGTTAAAATCCATTTGACTCTTGGCTTCAGCTTAAGTGCTACTCTTTGGGGAAAATGTTTTCAGATACCCTCACTGCCACCCCAGTCTAGGGTAGTTTCCTCTATTTGATATTTTCATAAGACCCTGTATGTCTCATATCACACACTACACTTGTAACTAGATGTTTGATATTGACAAACCTTTTTTCTGCTCAGTAAGTGAAGACATGAAATAGAAGTTTAATTCATTTAAGTAGTTCTATGGCTTCAAACTTCTGTAACTTTCAAACAGAACAACCATATATTTAATATATATTGTAGCCTCTTTTTCAATTCTGTCAGAAAACATTCCTATAATAATCAGACCATATTTTATTGCTAACAAGTCTCCAAAGTGTTCTCCATTGCTTAGAAAATTGAATATGAACACATCAGCAAGAATGCCTCATGTTATTTGTGTAGGCATAGTAGACTGTAAGTTACTTGAAAGTATGTACATACCTATCCATCTTTGTAATTCCAGAGCATGTATGTATTACACTGACAGTACTCTGTCCAAAGAGCAGTGACTCTAGAATCAAACAGGTCTGAGTTTGTATGCTGGCTCTACCCCGTAACTGGTTTTGTGACCCAAGACAAATTACTTAGTCTCCTGTGCCTCAGTTTTCCAGGCTTTAAAATAGATACAAATCTTAATTTACAAGGTGTTTCTATGAACTAAATGGAAAGCAGTAATTAAAGTTCTTAGTTAATTCCTGACACACAGTGAACTTTCAATTAATAGTAATTCCCTTCCTCTCTCTAGCAGGTCTATATACTCATGAAATGAATAAATAAATTAGTATTTTTGAGAGCTTTGATCTTAAAGTGTCTGTAATGAATTCACTAGATAATAGGGAACTTTTCAAGACTGTCTAACTATTACTCTGATTGCAGAACATGGAGAGAAAAGTCCAATGTGAAGGAATTTTGTAGTAATTTAGTTGAACTAGGCACTGTCTCTTTAGCAAGAACCTTGGCAATGAAAAATGGTTAATAAGCTATAGATGCAGAAATATTAGGGGAAAAGTGGACTTGGTAAGAAAACACATTTTAAGAAAGCGAGTCAGTGGACCTGGCGAGGGAGGGTTTTTTTTTCTCCTTGTGTTTATGCATTTTTTATGTGATTTTAGTAAGTGAACCATAGATAATTTTGATGAATACTAATCTGTGTAGACTTGCCTGAGTCATACATCTTCATTGGACCTCACTTTCTATACTTTGTAAAAAAGAGCTTTACCCATAAAAAAGTCTTTATAAAGATCAAATTCAATTGTGGATATGGAAATACTTTATAAAATGTAAAATGATATATGTAAGTTCAAATATTTATAAATTTCTTCATCTGTGCTGTAAATTGTGTCATTTTCATCTCTGCTGTAAACAATGTGTTATTTTCTTTAATCATCCTGTGATAAATATTATTAGCTTATTATTTAGATGATATAGCTGAGGTCCAGAGAGGCTAATATCTCACCTAAGGTCATATCCTGGTAAGTCATGGAATTATAATGGAAACCAAATAACTAAGCCATATTCTTTTCACTATCCTGTGCTGCAGAGGAATCGAACATCTTAATTTAAGAGTGAAATATCATAATTGAGGTGTATAGAAGATTAGAAGGAAGTCTATTTTTAATTAGAGTAACAAGTTATTCTATTTGCAGGAATTGTATTTGGTACTCTATGTATATGATCTAATTAATCCACACAATTCTTAAAATGTTGTATAAGTGATAAAGTACTAGACTGAATTTCAAGGAACCTTGTTCTCTCACTAGTTTGCTATGTGAGACATTAACTTAAAATTTGTAAGGTTTTGTATCTTCAACTTTAAAAAGGATTTTTGGTCGTTATGATCTTTAATGTCTTTCAGCTTTAATATTAAGGCTATGACTGCATTTTTTTTGTTTACCTTTTTTAGGTTTTTGTAGGTTATAACATATTTATACATATAAAATCTCATGCAATGTAATATAGTAATCTCGTATGTTATAAAAGCATGATGGACAAATGAACCCAATGACTCAAAGAGATTTATTAAGTAGAGATTGGGAAAGTGAGACTCAGAAAATTTTAGTAACAAGTCCAAGGTTACACAGCAGAGTTTGAGCTCAAATCCTCTGAAGTCCAAGATCAGTCTCTTTTCCACGTCAGTCTTACTACTTTTCTGAGTCTATTGTGGTAGTTGTGGTGATGAAGAACAAGAACACTACAAGTAGGTGAAACTGTGAAAATAGCAGAGAGGAGAACAGAAGAAGTGTCTTGTCATAGAGTGCTATTGTCAATAAATGTTACTCAGTGATGGGGAGGTAGTGCCTAAAGATACTAGAAATTACTCTCCTATATTAGTTTCTGTATTATGCTATTTTCTCTTTAACAATTCTCTTTCTTTTTTAAGACTCCATTAGAAAGTGTTCCAGGTAACCTTTCTCCTATTAAAGATCCTGATAGACTTCTTCAGGATGTTGATATTAATCGCCTTCGTGCTGTCGTCTTTCGGGATGTGGTAAGTTATATACCTGCTTGATTTCCCAGGAAAAAAAATCTTCCACTATCATTTGTGTAAAAAAATTTAAATTTTATAAGAAAGCTGCAAGTACAACTAAATGTCCTAATGTCAGGAATTGTAGGTTTAGGACATACTTCTGATTATAGAATGATTGAGCCTTTGCTTTCTCTGAAAGCTTATTGATACGTCATTTTTTTAGGTGATGTAAAATTTTGATTTAGTTTGTGTGTATACTAAGACTGGGGATAACCTTGAAAAATTATGATTCACTTTGTGTTGAATCACCTACTTTTCTCTTTTGTATTCCTTGCTCCATTTCTAGGTACTATGTTGTTATTATCAACGTTCCTTGTACTATGGATAAAAGGAATTAATTCACTAAGGTGTTACTGGCAATTACTTTTTTGAGGGGCAGCAATTACTTTTGAAAGAAGATCTGCGTTTTAAAAATGATAGGTATTTATGAGAAGTTGAGTTACAAAAGTAGCTTTGTAAAGCTTAAGGAAAAGATAGCTTATGGGGATGGTTTCTTGGAACACCCCAGTTATATGATCACTTATTCAAGTAAAGATAAGATTGGCCTTTTCACAAATCACGTAGAAACATATATAGTATTTTACAGAAGATTCAATATTGACATTACTCCTTAACATAGTTATTGTTTTCCAGCCACTTTGGAGTCTGTTTTTCTTATTTTAATTGATGATTTATGAAACACAGAAGAAAATTTATTTATTTATTTTAAGTAGGCTCCACACCCAGTGTGGGGCTTGAACTCAGGACTCTGAGATGAAGAGTAAGAAAGTCTGTATTTTAAATTTATATTTAACAATAAATTGGATGAGTACTTTGTACTTTAGAAAGTGGTTAAAACGTATGTAAGTCACACAGCATAATACTGCATGGTAGGAATCTGCAACAGAAAAATTGTCACTCTCTTTAATATGTATCAGTTCTTACAAATTACTAGAAAAATTACAAACATAGCAACAGAAAATTAGATAGCGGATATTAAATATAAAAGATAAGGTAACAAATACATGATGAAGTCAGTATCACCAGTAGTCAAAGGAATGCAAATTAAAATGAGATATTTTTAGTATTAGATAAATAAAAATTTTAAATAATACCCAGCATTGCAAGGGTGCATTGAAACATGCTCTGTTATATATCACTGGTAGATGTTTAAATTGGATAAACTTCCTGAATAGTTCTTTTGCATTATGTGTTAAAACTCTTACAAATATCGACGCCCTGTGACCCAGTGGTTCTACCCAGAAGTTATCTGACTTTATGTGCTCATCAAAGATGCCTACAGGAAAATTGGCAATGTTACAAATACCTAACAGTAGAGTTTCAGCTTAATAGATTATAGTATATGCATTCAGTGGGACACTACGCAGCCATTAAAATCGTATTTTTGAGGGAAATTTTGTGACATAGAAAAATGGTCATTATATATTTTAAGGGAAAGCAGCAGTATACAAAAGTACTTATATTACACAAATCTACATTTTTATGTTGAGCGTATGTACACGTACATGTGTACCTTTAAAAAAAAAAGACTAGAAAAAATATACCAAGGGCTATTAATGATTATCTCTAGGTAAACAGTTTTTATTTTATACTTTAGTCTTTTATACTTTTTTTGTGTTTTCAAATGTTCTGTAATAAACCCATATTTCTTTTGTAATTAATAAATAATAAAATAGTTTTTTAAAAAATGGAGATAAAATGCATGATAGTATAAAAATCATGATGTAAGAGTCTTATAATAATCTGGACTCTAATCCAGTTGTGGAAAAAAAAAATCACTAACAGGTTCATCATTTAGAAGTTAGAATTACTCATCCTGAAAAAATGTGCTATGGAAAGAATGTTTTTCAAATGAAAAATGTTTAAAACATGGAGCATATCCTCATCTCCAAGAGGCACACTCAGACCTAACATAGAAGAGGTTTATGTTAAGTGTGACATTATGTTTACATTGTTAGTAAATTCTGTATTAGGTTATTATGGTAGATTATGATAATTTTTTCTAAGACTCCTAGATGTTAAATATGTTGGATAACCCAGCAGTGGTGTCTAGCTTTCTTCCCGAAGGATGGGAATTAAGTATTCCCAGATGTACCTTCCAAACATCATTAAGGTAATACAACTTGTGTTTGTTGAGTTTATAATGTGTTTCAGACACTTAATATGTATTATCATAAGCTTCCATTTAAGGGTTAAGAGAAATTTAAGACTCAGAAATTTTAAGATCCCCCAGGTAATATGAGGTGGTGAGAACCTTAAGGTAGACCTCTCCAAAGTATTCTCTTTTTCATCAGCATATTTCATAGATTCTAAGATACTGTTTTCACTTTTATTTTTTATTTATTTATTTATTTATTTATTTTTAAGTTTTTATTTAAATTCCAGTTAGTTAACATACAGTGTAATAATTAGTTTCAGGTGTACAATGTAGTGATTCAACACTTCTGTACACCACTTGGTGCTCTTAACAAGTGCATTCCTCCCATCACCTGATGGAAGTGTTTGACAGTTGATATATTTTAGAATCAATTGTAGATATCATGCTAAGAATTATACTTGACTTTTGAAATTTTTGTGAATCAGTAGTCATTTTTAATTGCCTTAATTTCACAAACAAAGGAGATTAAAAATTAGGTTTTTAAGGAAAACTATATGTACATTGTATACATATATATACACAATATGCAATAAATGTATCTTGATCTTGCTTTTTTTCTCTTATGAAGACATTGCTGGTTTAAACTCACATGAACTGTTTAAATCTAGGCAAAAGCGTTGTGTGACAAAATTTGCTATGTGGTAAGAAATAAAATTAGACTTTAAAAATCAACACTTGGGGTGCCTGGGTGGCTCAGTCGTTAAGCGCCTGCCTTCGGCTCAGGTCATGATTCCAGGGTCCTGGGATCAAGCCCTGCATCGGGCTCCCTGCTCGGCGGGAAGCCTGCTTCTCCCTCTCCCACTCCCCCTGCTTGTGTTCCCTCTCTAGCTGTCTCTCTCTCTGTCAAATAAATAAATAAAATCTTTAAAAAAAAAAAAAATCAACACTGTTTTCAGTGTTCCCAGTAAACTAAAATTTGAAAACAAATTCAGTATTCTTCTATACTAGGTCCTTTATATACAAAATTATATAAACTGAAGTAATTTTAATCCTTAAAAGTTGATATAGAAGGTTTTTAACATCCTGGTTGAAGCATTAAAATTTTTAAAGGATTTCAGAGTTAATTATATTACTGATTCAAGATTGAATAGTGGAGGGACCCATTTCTGAAGCAGATGGGGGAAACATAAGAGTTTATGTCTTCATAATAATAAAATATGTAGAGGCCTGGGTGGCTCAGTCGGTTAAGCGTCTGCCTTCGGCTCAGGTCATGATCCCAGGGTCCTGGGATCCGGCCCCACATCGGGCTCCCTGCTCACGGGGAGCCTGCTTCTCCCTCTCTTTCTGCTGCTCCCCCTGCTTGTGCTCTGTCCCTCTCTCTCTCAAATAAATAATAAAATCTTAAAAAAAAATAATAAAATATGTAGGCAAGACAATTAATTTGTATAAAAATTTACTTGTTCTTCAGATGTTGTGCTTCATTTTTAAAGATAGAACTCTCTGGGAATAAGCAGCACAATTGGTTTGCAGATCTGGATTTGAAAAGAAAAGGCAACTGTTTTCATGCCATATATATGGGAGACGTTAGCTTGGCTAGGACACTTCACAATATCTGTTGTTTGCAACTCTGCAACTTTGTAGTTAACATGCATTCATTCCACACATGCTTTTTAATTGCCTGGCACTGAGTTTCCAGTGGTGGAAATGTAAATGTTGTAGAATATCACAGTCCATCACAGCTTGAGCTATGTTTGAATTCATTCCTGGTCAGTATCTTTGTTGATAGGATTGCACTTCATTTTCCTTTATAATAACTATTTAAGTATTTGATTTTGTCCCCTCTCTCTATATTTATTCCATCAGCATTATAATGCACAGAGTATGCATTTCCAACACTTTTAAGAAACTATATCTCTAGGAAAGCTGCCTGTCACCCTCAGAGTATGAGATACTAAGTTTATGATATTTCAGAACAAATTTAATCTGTTTTGGTAGTTTTCTGTATTAGCTGTACTAATCCCATTTCATAGTATTAAATTATTAGTAAATATTTCTTGTTTGATTTCTTTTCTGACAAATGCACATACATTCTGAATCTTGTTTGCATTTTGCTTAAAGGAAGTAAAAATAAAAAGTGCCTTGAATGGAGTTGCTAGACTTTAATGCATGTCTGCTTTCCTTATTCATATCATACATTTTTTTACCTATTATCTGTGGGCCACAGTAAATACTTGCAGTTTTGGTTTGAAGTGTCACCTTTACCTAGCTTAGAAAAGGGCTTTATAACCATTTACATTTGATTCCTTCGATACAGGCTAATTTGAAAGTGGTATTAGAGGTTATAAGTTTGCCTCCTTATCGGTTTTTCCCTATAATAGTTATCTAGGCTTTCAAGGTTACATGCAGCTCTTTATATTTTACAAAGCATACTTACAGAGTTATCTTTTCTACTAGACTGCATTCTGCTTTTTTTTAAGATTTACTTATTTATTAGAGAGAGAGAGAGAGGAAGGGCGTGGCCAGGGCAAAGGAAGAGGGACAGAGAGAATCTCAAGCAGACTCCCCTATGAGGGTGGAGCCCGCGACCCTGAGACCATGACTGAGCTGAAATTAATAGTCTGATGCTTAACCAGCTGAGCCACCCAGGTGCCCCTGCAGTCTGCTTTTTTGAAACTATTCTCTCTATCCTAACTTCACCAATTGTTTTCATACCTTTTACCAATTTGTTGCACTGGGAAAACTTCCATTTTTGTCATTGAGCTTTTGAAGTTCAGAGCCTCAAATATTGGCAGTGTTTTAGAGGTCATTTTTCCAGGGTGGAATAGTGGGACTGTTACTTATTTTTATTTATTTATGCAGTCAGAGGTTGCATTGACTTTTCTTAAGCTACCATATCATACTTCTAGCTCATATTGAGTTTGTATAAAGTTCAATTTTCTGTTCCCCCATTGTTTATGTTTCCCCTATTTTGTAGTCATATAGTCTCTTAAGGTAGTAATATGTTAGAATTGTACATGTATCTCAATTATAATTTTATTCTATTTTTTTTAAATTATAACATTTGGAACTATTGATTTTTATTCAGATATTATTCTTTCATCCTTATGCTTTCTGTGTATTTTATAAATAGACATATTCTGTAGTTATGGAAGTAATGGATAGTAATGGTGAAGAGGACAAAGAATAAAATTTTGTGGCATGAATGCAAAATTTTAACATTCTCATTTTTTGAAATTAAATTTCAACCTATAACTCATGATACATTTCTGGAGTTTTGTATTTATACTTAAATGATACTAATTAAATAACAATGTATACTTAGAAGTTTTAATAAAAGTTAAATGTCATATTTTGCCTCCATAAAGAAAATGAAATAGTAGTTTCTTATTCTCTGATAACTTCAAAAATTTGAATGTCAGAACTGCCTTTTCATTTTACACAGGATGATAGCAAGCAGGCACAGTTCTTAGCTCTAGCTGTTGTTTACTTCATTTCGGTTCTGATGGTTTCCAAGTATCGTGACATATTAGAACCCCAGCGAGAGACTGCAAGAACTGGAAGCCAACCAGGTAGAAACATCAGACAAGAAATAAATTCGCCAACAAGTACAGGTACTATTTTTTTTTAATTATTTGAATTTTTGTCATCATTTATCTCCTTTTTATTTCCTTTTTACATCCCATCCAGTTTTAAACTAGTCCTATTCATTATCATCTTAAATATTTATAAGTAGTTGGTATATAAATGCCAATTTAATACTCTTTAATTCCATAAAAATGTGTAAATTTCCATGATATTTGCTATATTCTCATTTTATCAGTGCAGTTTGGGTTTAATGTTTTCCATATGTTAATATAAATCATTTACTATTTAATATGCAAATAACTGATATATTTTAAATGTATTACTTTTTAACTTTTATGAACATGAAAGTAGATTCTTATAGAGTAATTCAAGACTAAGAATAAGCCAAAATATAAATCTTTATAGCCAAGTTCAAAGATAACTTCTTTCTTGCTTGCTTATTCTCTCTCTCTCTCTCGCTCTCACTCTCTGTGATTCTTTTGCAGTGTATAATTATTTAAGTATCTAAATATTCTGTCAGAGATTCATAATAAGCCAACATACATTTTAAACTTTATACCAAAGTTGCTTCAATTAAAATCAAAGACTTACAGACAACAATGAACCATCTTGGATCATATTATCTCTCTTATTTAGAGAAGATGCTCATGTTGTGGGAGTTCTTGCATTATCAGCTTTGCCTACTCTGCTTGAAAATGATAAACACATTTTCTGGCAACTAATATTTTAATATCATGGAGTGCCTTCTATCAGTTGCATTTCCTGCCATGTGTTTATAAAATTGTTTCTTGGTTGTTTGCAGTGTATCCTTGGTAATCTAGTGGTTATTTCATGTACCATTAGATTAATTTGTAGTTGAAATTGTCTTTCCTAAATAAATGCATATGATATATAAATAAAATGGATATTTTAAAAAGTGAGTAGAAATAAGTGGTCAAATCTCTGCATCTTGTTTTCCCTGAGCATGTCATATCTCCTTTACCTTGCTTTTGTGGAAATATGGATTGTGTTTTAGCTATAATACTTTATTGTTGCATGCTACATTTACTTTGAACACATAAACATGATATTATTTCATTATAGTATACTTTTGACTTTATTCGTCAAATTAAACATTATCCTATCATTCCAGCTTATGTCTTTTGACCATTTAAAACATTAAGACTCTCATTATGTTAATCAACTTTTGCTTCATTTTTAATGCATTCATATCAGCTTTATATGTATAAAACAAGCAATACTTTAGTCAGCCTTCCAGTTCTAATTTTGTATGTGTATGTCTTTCTGTATGTTGCTAAAATTACTCTACTTAACAAGTGTATGATATCTCCTTTCTCTTAATACATAACCTCTTTCCTTCCCCCAGAGATGCAGTCTTTATTGCTAGTACTGTTTGCATGTTGCAGTAATATAGAGTTGTCATGGATCTCCAGTGGACCATGTTGCAGGTTGCTACATGCTGGCTCAAATTTGATTCCATGATTTTCTCTACAGTTGTGGTCATACCATCTATCCCTCATCCAAGTTTGAACCATGGATTCCTTGCCAAGTTAATTCCTGAGCAGAGCTTTGCCCACTCATTTTACAAAGGTAATATTGACCTCATCTCCTGACCTGTTTGGGTATTCGTATTTCATTAATTGTTATAAAATAAATATCCATAATGTAATTGTTTATAGACAAGTATACACCTCAGGTTTCATGGAGATATGATATGTTGTATTTTTATTTGGCTATTGAGAGTAAAATACAGTTTTTATATTTGTATTTCATTACATTTCTTTAAGTATCATCTGCAAATTATGGATACTTAATTTATATGTATAAGAATATTCACAGTGGTGGCATTCACTAGAGATTGCAGAAGAGCCACACCTTAGTAGGAGACTAAAGTAGCCCTAAAATGAAGGCTCCTCTAGACTCACAAGAAAAAAAGCTTAAAAACAAGCCTTGAAAACATCAAATTGATCTATAAGTTACTTAACTTTCTGTCAAAGTTCTACCTCTGTTTAAAGAAATACAAAAAAATTTTTCACCAAACAACATAAAATTCAATGTTAAGTATTCAATAAATAATTATTAAACATGTAAGGAAGCAGGAAAATGTGCTATATAAGGGGGGGGAAATCATTCAACAGAAACTGATTCAGAAAGGACAGTGATGGCAGAATTACCAGATAAGAACATTCAAACAGATATTGTAAGTATGTTCAAAATATTTTTCAATCTAAAAGAAATAGTGAATGTAATGAGAAAAAAAATGGAAGATTTTTTAAAAGAACCAGTTGGAGTTTTAGAGATAAAAAATAAAATAGCTGATATGATGTTTCTGGGTAGGGTTGACATGGGATTACTCTCTGCAGAACAAAGGATTGTAGTAGGCCGAATTCTGTTCCCCGTACCCATTCCACCCAAGATTTTCCCATGTACACACCCTGCATGATTCCTGGGACAGTGAATATGATGGATTTTGCTCCTGTGACTCTGTTGTATTACATAGCACAGTTGCTTTTAAGAGAAAGTGATTATCCATATAGTCCTGACCTAATTACATGAGACCGTAAAGGCAGAGCGTTTTCTCTGGCTGGTTACAGAAAAGGAAGTCAGAGAGACTGAGAGTGTGAAAGTGATTTGACTTGAAGGAAGTCCTTTATTGCTGAGATGAAGGTGACTGCAGTTCAAAGACCTGAGATCACCTTGTAGGAGCTTGAGAGCACAACCTGGCTGACAGTCAGCAAGTAAGTGGGAGACTTAGCCTACAACAACAAAGAACTGAATTCCTCCAGTAACTTGAGTGAGTTTAAAGAGGACCCTGCGCTCCAGATGATACCATAGTTCAGTGTTTTCTATATATTGGCTAATGATACAGAAGACCAACTTATAGAACAAATAAAGCAGTGAAGTATTTTTTGTTACAACTTGATGAATGCACAGATTTTTTTAATAAATGTGCAACCTTTGAACATGATGATGAAATAAAGGAAAAATTCAGCTTTATTGCTTATAAACATCTAGCTGTGAACTAAGAAAAATTAGATTAAATTAGATTAGATTAAAAGTCTGGAGGGTTTTTGTTTTTTTTTTTCTGTGCGTGTAGAAGGTGTTCCAAAGGCTTAGCTGTAGTGACTCGAAAATACTCTAGAATAGTTACCCAGATTCAGGAGCATATATCAGAATATCAGTGCACTTCTTTATCAAGGATATTTTCTTGTGAAAACAATATTAGCTCAACTGCACAGTGTTCTTGGTGGCATAATAAAATTTTGAATTACTTTAAGACTGTTGTGGTGAATTTGCTATTTTCTTTACTCTGTGATAATATGGAAGCTGATCACAAATAACTGTTATGGTATGCTGTGGTACAGTGGGTACTGAAAGGAAAAGTCCTGTGATGATGTTGGAACTGCAAAGTCAACTTTTGGTGTGTTTTACAGAATAAGAAACCAGTTTGATTCCACTCTTTAAAGACTAGTAGAACTCGCTTTTTTGTCAGATCTGTAAAATATTTTTAATGAATTCAGTACTTACACATGGGGAATGATTGCAACATGTCTTTTAGTAGCAGAAAAGATCAAAGGACAAAAAGAATCTTGGAAGCATACAATTTCTATAACATTTTTCATTACTTAATAATTATTATTTAATATAATTATCAAGAAAGTATCTTGATCTTTAAGGATGATTTTGATTTTGCTCACCCTTGAAAATTTATCTCCTGACATTTTATGTATTTGATAGAATGTTTTGTGTTTAATTTTCCACCAGAAGAAGATTCATCCATGAGATTCATGGAAATGGAATTCATTGCTTTCATTGAAATATAATTTATATTTGATTATAACAATACAAGATAAGTTATTGGAATGGGGCATTGGTGAGCAATGAGGGAAATTTTGAAGATACAGTTTTTCTAGTTTCATTTTGGATAAAAGTTTAAAATGAATATTCGTTCCATGAACATACCTCTGTGACACTGCTTTCTCTACTCTGCATGATACTAAAATAAAACGAAAGTAGCTTAACTGTATGTTATTCCCATGAGTGGCATTATTGCCTGTTCAACTTGGATTAGATAAATTAACAAGCAAAAAGCTCTCATTGTCACATTATCAACTTTAAATATTTATATTCCCAGTGTTTGTATAAAACACTTATATAGGGGTCTCTTTTAGGGAGTCATTCTTCTGCTTCAAACTTTGTTTATGATGTGTAATGGGAAAAAATCACAAGTATAATAACATTTGTATATATTGGTCACCTATAAACACACTTTCAGTGAACAGCCTGATGAGCAGTTTTAAAATTATTTTCTTTTCCCAATATTATCTTTGTTCTGATTAAATTGAAATTTATTTTTTGTCTGTAGAGTCAAATAATAAAAACATTTGTGGTTTTATTTTGTGTGCTTAATTTTTTAAATTATTTTTAATTCATTTTCAAAATGTCAATCAGTGATGGTTAAAAAAAAAAGTAAATTTTCGCTTTGAGTTTGATAGTTTGAGATGCACTGATTTGGACTACTCTTCAACTCCTTCACACTTCACTTTCTTCTTTCAGCTCATTATTGAACCTTTTCAACAATGCCGAACTAGCTCTCTGGCCTCTTTTTTTTTTTTTTTTTATCTTTGATAGTCCCTCAGTTCAAAGTCTTATCCCTTTTTGGAGCATTGCCATAGTTTCTTCTTTGGACTTCTTTTCTTTAGTCATTAGTCTGTTACTGATGACAATAAAAAGTAACACTAATGTATATAATAAAGTAATGAAACATATTTTATAATATATAACAAATATAATAAAGCTGTTTTTCTTTCTAAAAATTTCTAAAGGCTTCCTATGATTTAGGGGACAAAATTAAAATGTCTTACTTTATAGTGGTGCACTACTGTAGTTCTGATTTACCTGGATTATACAATTGCCTCCAAAGTAGTTTCTTTACCTCTTTTTTTACTCATCTTTATTCGATTTATTACAGTTTTGCTACAATTTGTTTTAAAATGTAAATGATATATATGTTTGTTTGTTTTTTTTTTACTTAAAATTTTCTGGTAGCATGTAGAGTAAAAATATCACATGGGCTTCGGATAATCTGACTGCTGATTATCTTTACAGCTTTTTCTCATATTATTCTTCCATTTGCTCACTATGCTACCACAATAAAACTGTCTTTCCCTTCCTTAATAATCACAAGTACTATCCTGCCTCTTGATCTTTGTATTTTGTTTCTGGTTTTTGGTTCTCTCTCTTTCCTATTTTTTGCATGACTGGTGCATTTTCATCCTTCAGGTGTCTCCCTGAAGGCATCCACTTCACAGAGGCTTTCCCTGACTGTTGTAGCTGAATAGCTTCCTCCCCATGACCAGCCTGTTCTCTACCACTACATCCTCTTCATTTCCTTTTTTGAATTTACACAATTTATTTGTTTAGTTGTTTATTGGAATGTACTTCAAAGGCATAGTCCCTGACACCCGGCATGATGCTTGGAACTAAATAAATATTTGTTAGTAGATGAGTAAGCCAGTGAGAAAGCTAAACAATTTTTTTAAAACTTGATGGTAGCCATAAAATGTATTTCATTATCAAACATGCTAAAAACAGGGATAAGAAACTTTTATTGATAGCTTGGTCTAGAAGCTGTAGAAGCTTTATATTAATTATTTCACTTCAGGTTTAATAAGAATAAAGTTAATATTTAGGTGAACTTATAAATAAATATATTGGTTTTCCTCTAGTAATTCATTATTAGGGAAAAGAATTAACACTGGAAATAAAAAGTTAAGATAATGTAGTACTGGTAAAAGAATAGGCATATGGCATGATTGGTCTATAAATAGGCTGGAATTTGTATGAATGTTTCTTATAGTATAAATGTATTACCTATAGTATCATATACATTAGTATATAGTACTATATATGTTATATAGTATATTATAAATACAACTTTTCTAGTCAAAGGGAAGAGGAAGTATCATTTGGCAAATGGTAAAGGTTACCAAATGGGCAAACATTTGAAAAAATTAATTTATATCCTATCTCATATATTATGCCAGATATACTTCACATGCATTAAATTTAAAGGTATAAGTGAAACTGATCATAATTCAAGACAATTAAAGTTAATATTTGTATTAAAAAGGTGTTTTAAACTATAACATCAAAAGCTGAGGTTTAAAGTAAAAAATATGACTAAATAGAAGTTTTGTATATCTCCATGTCTGAAAATATCAACAAAATTTAAAACAAATGCAAACAGGAGAACTTTTACATGTATATGATAAAAGCTAATAGCCTTAATGAATAAAGAGCTCTTACAGATCATTTAAAAGAACGTATCATGCTAAGGGAACCATGTAGAAAGCATCAAACAGTTAACAAAAGAAAAGCAATGTACAGTACAGATAAGGAAAATATATTTAAATCTAATAACCAAATTTATATTGCAGCAAAAATATACCTTGATCCTGAGTGGCTCAGTCGGTTAAGCATCCAACTCTTGATTTTGGCTCTGGTCATCATTTCAAGGTCGTGAGATGGAGCTCCACATCAGACTACCCTGCTGGAGATTCTGTCTGCCCATCCCCCTCCCCTCTAAT